CCCCAGGCTCATGTCTTGGTGCGGGTGGATGAGTACCGATCGGATCTTTCGGTACCTACGGCACTTGAACAGTAGGAGGCCCATGAGAAAGACTGTGCATTTGGCTAGTTTTTATTAACAGCTTGGGAAGCCTGGGGGAAAAAAATGCAGGCATAAGTCAGCCAACTCCCAACCTGAGGCCCACTGTGGAAGCTCGGGAGCCTCTGCGGCAGGGATTAAGGAGAGCCTGATCTCCCGCAGCAGAGGCAAAAGTACCTCAAAGAGGCCTGGGGTCTAATGGTAAGGTTGGCTGAGCTGCAGATGGGATAAAATGCTGTCTTGACAATTCTTTATCAAAGTCAGAGCCTTGTTAGGAAGAGATTGGGACACTGGGGCCTAAGTTAGTAACTTAGGTTAATAACACAGTGTAGATGCACCCAAACATGTTGAAAACAGGGTTCCCCTAACATGGGGCTGGCTGGAGTGGCTGTCCTTCCTCACCTGAGGACCTGCTGAGACCTCTGGTGAGGTGGATGCCTGCAAGATGGTGAATGACCTCCTTGAGATCCTCCTCCAGTGGTAAACCCAGAATCAGGTCAGGTCTCAACATGGTTTCAACACAGCCTGCGCAGAGAAATACACCGCTGTGTGGGAGGAAATAGCTTGATTGCGGAAGGAGTTGCAGAATCAGGGTAATATGTACTCTCGGGAACCAGGGCAAAATGTGTTCAAGTGGATCTGGAGGGTGTTGGGCCAGGGATGGAGGTGGAGGGAAAACTATTAGGCTGGCTCGGGAGAGTTCATCATCACAGGAGCATTTAGCCATGGCTTGGACTGAAGGACACCCGCAGCTGGTCCCCATGTGCAGCTGGGTTGGCTACAGAGCTTTGGACCTGAGGAAGGCACACAGTGAGTGAGTCGGAGATAGCAGTGTTAAGGAAAACGTCGACTGAAGAAGCACCTACCAACATCGTCCAGGAGGACACTGCCTTCACTGAGGCAATAAAGAATGTTCTGGGGAGGGGTGTTCCAGCACCCGTGAAAAGGTCAGTGGTGGCTGCCCGTTGCCAGCAGGCCTTGACAGTAGGAAATGGAACCGGGCATGCCGCTCTCAGCAGGGGTGATGAGATTCTAGAACGGCAGAGGCTGTGTATTCCTACTTCAGCGTCAGAGGCAAGATGGACATAATAGAATGGACAGTCAGGCTGCAGTGGCAATCAAGGTACCTTGATCTGCCGGGCTTTGTGACAAGGGCTAATAGGTCACAGAGTTCTGAGTGACAGCTAGCTAGAGTGTTGCTTGACTCGTATAACCCAAAAAAAAAAAAAGAATGAAAAGAGGCAAGCTGGGGAGCAGAGACTGATATAGCCTGTCACAACGGGAAAATCATGGGCCCAGATTTCAGTTAATTTACAGACCCAGGGCACAGGGATAGGGAAGGCCAGGTCTTCTTGAGCAAGAGCCCTGGGGCACGAGTATATGCCATATACATACCCAGAATTTTTAAGGACTTTTGGATAAAAAGTCTCCACTGAAACGGATACAGGGAATCCTAAACACTATTATGGCCTTATGTGGGGATGCGGGTCTTTGGAAACCAGGTGATGGGTGGAGTTCATACCAAAGTCTGTCTCACAGTGGGTCCCACCTTGGGGTTCTTTCGCCAATCTCCAAGCATATATTTGGGATAAATATATTTAGACCACTGACCTGTGGAGGAAGAGGCATTATGGGAGGAAGAACCACATGGAAACCTCTGGAACCCTACCCTCTCCCAGGTCATGTTAGTAAATCATGAGCAATCACATGAGGAAATGCAGCCATCAGCATTACCATTCAAAATCAGTATGATCATCAAAAATGTTTAAGGACACAGAGGTGACGGGCTCCATCATAACCTCCTTTAACTTCTCCATCAGGCTTCTAAAGAGAGCAACGGAGAGCAGAGGACGACCGCGGGTAGTAGGTTGTAGCTGCCACGCCGGCTGAGGTATCCTTGCTGGAAGCCTCTGGTATCCATCTGCAGCTGTTACTTTGGAAAATGCATTCTTCTCAATTTCCCTCAGAGAGGAGGGTCCAAGCACTTCATATCCCCCAGGGATGGGCAGCTACCGTCCTCACTCTAAGCAGTTGTAAAGCTCCCGCTCTGTGTCACAGGAGAGTCCGAAGGACCTTAATTATCTTGCCGTCTGCCGAAAGTCATGCTAGTCCACTGGGCTGTGACAACGTGCTGGGTGGATTTAGCCTCAGAAAGTGGCAAGAACTCAGAACCCTAGTAGGACGTGTTTGTGCCAGAGTGGGGGTGATAAACTGCAGGAAGAATCAGGGGCCTGCCACACTGAGGAAGAAGTCAGAGGAGCAGCGAGCTGGGGGCACGGCTCCACATTCCTTCCACAGTAAAGGACCATTTGTTGCCTCTTCTACCCCTTAGCGCTGAGACAGAGGCACAGGGTTGGTGGCCTGTCTGGGTTTGGGAAGTGCATGCATTGTACTTAGTATAGTCCTCCAACCCCTGGGTCATGGCTGTCAGTTTCAAGTGGATCCCGCGCGCGTGCGCACACACACACACACACACACACACGCAGAGCCCGGTTTGGGCTTTGCTGCAATCTGCGTTGCCACCCAGGCTGTATACAGAGCAGGGCAGTGAAGAACACCGTGGGGTCTCAGGCCAGCCCCATAGGAGGTTACAGCACAGCGCTCTGGGGGCCTGGAGCGAGGCCGCACTTTCCACGGCAGAGACCTACCTGCTCCCGCTCCTGGGGGGCTCCTGGGCCCTGGTAGAGCCGGAGCCCCTGGTGATGGGACACTAAGAGACAGAGCCCACGTTGCTGTCTCCTCAGGAGCTGGGCGTTATCAGACCCATGGAGTCATCCATTCAGATGGGCGCCGCAGCGACTCACCTTACTGGAACTGACGTCTACTGAGGAAGGGGTTTGCCTGTCCTGACTGCAGAGCATCCTCTAATACAATCAGGCTCCGACCCAGAGAACATCTGCTCCGTTTTCACGGTCTCTCGTAACGTTGCCTCAAAGACTCTTTTGGTAAAGGCCACGGACACTTGACCGTGGGACCTACTCACCCTCCTGTATACCTCAGCACAAGTAGCAGCCGGCATTCACGGGACAGGGGTGAGCCTGCTAAGGCTCCGGCGCTGTAGGGCAGTGGCCCGCAGCCCGACAGTCTCCGTGCCTGATGGATGGTGTGCACTGTTGCTAAAATACACAGGCCTGGGGGGCACCTGGCTGGCTCAGTCGGTGGAGCACGCAACGCTTGATCTCAGGGTTGTAAGTTCGAGTCCCACGCTGGGTGTAGAGATTACCTAAAAATAAAATCTTAGGGGTCCCTGGGTGGCTCAGTTGGTTAGGCGACTGCCTTCGGCTCAGGTCATGATCCTGGACTGCATCGGGCTCCCTGCTCGGCAGGGAGCCTGCTTCTCCCTCTGACCCTCCCCCCTCTCATGCTCTCTCTCATTCTCTCTCTCAAATAAATAAATAAAATCTTAAAAAATAAAATAAAATCTTAAACAAAGCTACCCAGGCCTGGGCACCAACGGGTAGAAGTGGGATAGCCTTCTCTCGCCATCACAGTCGAATTGGTACTTCTCTTTCCTACATCCCAGGGTCAGTTAGATCGGAGGTTATGGTTTCCGGGGGCCGGGGGATGCTTTCCCCAGGGGACCCAGTAAGGGTCCAGTGAACTGGAATCCATGGCTATCGCATGGTCACGTTGAGGTCTCTGTGTGAGTTGACAATCAGGCAAAGAAAGGAGCTATTATACTGGTGGAGATTATTGACCCTGATGATCATAAGGAGATAAAGAGGAGTATGTCCGGGACCCAAGAGATTCCCTGGAGCTAACTTTGGGGCCTCAGGATACCAGTGAACAGAGATTGTAGCAAACACGGCCTGACAAGGGCAAGGCAACTAAAGGCTCAAATCTTTTGTTTTTTAAGGATTTTTTAAAAAGTCATCTTTACACCAAACATGGGGCTTGAATTCACAACCCCGAGATCAAGAGTCCCATGCTCCACCAACTGAGCCAGCCAGGCACCCTTGCAGACTCAAGTCTTTGATGATAAAGGTGTGCATGATACTACCCAATTAGACCAGCTAAAATGCTGGCCACAGGTAAAGCAAATTTAGAATGAGTGAAGGAAGGAGGGAGGGACGAGTCTGCAGCCTCAGGACCGGCTACAGCACGCGGACTGTGGCTCCGTAGTCTTCGAAGCCCGGTCTGTCCCTAGAAGCAGCATCCTAGGAACTTGTTAGAAATGCACATTCTTGGGCCCCACTCCAGAATCAGAACTCTGGAGGTGGGTCCTCACGGTCTGTTTCCACCAGCCCTCTAGGAGATTCTGATGCGCTGGAACTGAGAGCCACCCCTGTAAGCTGTCCGACTCACCCCACTGCGTGGAGTCCTTCCAGGCCCCAGCGCCTTGAAGGAGCTGCCTGCAGTGGTTTGGACGCAACAGAGGACTGCTCGGAGCGGGGCCTGGGCTGGACTGTGTCAGCTGCTAGGCACCATTCAGGTCCTTTCAGCCGCACTTTCCCCTCCAGCCCCGGAGGCCGTGACCGTTTCCACTCGAGTTTGGACAGCGTCATGCAGGTCCTACTTGACCGCATCTTGTCTCGGGCCAATGCTCTGGACTCTTCCGTCCCTCGGGCTTTCCTGACACTAAGGTGTGGGAAGCTCCGGGAGCCCATCTGACACTCGCACAGCCTCATCTGCAGATGTTCTTCCAAAACAGGGCTCCAGTGGTGCCTTGGGGTGGGGTAGTACTTAAACACAATCTGGAACTGCAGGGCAGGTGACCACCTGGGACCGCTCCTGACCAGCGGTGAACAAGAGCTGGTGCGACAGTGCTTTCCCCTTTTGCACCCTGGGCGTCAGACACCCGAGATGTGCTTCCTGAGGCCCATCAGAGCATCCTGCAGGACTGAGCACCAACCACCTGGAGCACTGGCTGATTTGTGTGGACTTTTCCTGTTTCCCTCCCAGCCCCTCCCTCCTCTCCAGGCTTGTTTCCCCAAAAGCTACTAGGCTCTGTTTGGGGGGAACCCAGTCCAGAACCCCTAGCTGCCCAGAATGCTCTTGGCCAGCTTTCCGCGGGTCACCCCTGCTTCCTACTCAGATCTCAGACTGTCCTCTACTCAGTGTGGCCTTTCACAATGGTCCCATCCCAGGGAGTGAGCCTCTGATATCAGATGACCCGGTTTGCATTCTCTGGATAGCATCTGTCACTATCTCGTGTTTTTCTTACAGCATTTTTTTTTTTCGTCAATGCCTTTGTCCAGCCCTAGAATATACTGCACGGGAGAGCAAGGGCCCGGCCCAGCTCATTCTTTGCTCTTTCCTCAGTACCTTGAACAGTGCCGGCCCATGGGAGGCACTGGATAAGTATTTCTTGATTAAATAAATGAATGAATGCTAGAGCTTGAGAACAAGAGAGCAAATCTAGACTTTTTTTGGGGGGGGAAATGCATATCTTAAGTTTAAATTTATTTAAAAATTACAAAAATGTCCCCACCCAAGTTGTCCATGAAAAAATTTAAAAGCAGCAACAATGCTCTTGGTTAATGTCCAGCAGTTTAACGCAATTTATAAAATTGAACAAAATTTAGATGTGTGTCTGATGCCTCTATAGACACGGGACCCTTTCTTTAGGTCCCTTTCTTTAGGGTCTGGTAGTATCATTATCGGGACACTTTCCAAAGCCTTTTTCCTTTGGACTCTGTGTAAAATGATCCGATAGACTCCCGTGATGGAGCTCCGGGCTCCTCTCCCGTGGCTGTTCCGGATGTGCTCTTCTGTAATACCCAAATACTCCAAGGTGCTTTTGACCTCGTTTTCTTCTTCTTTAAGGGTGCTGGTTTCGGACAAATGTTTGGGATCCAGTTGGAAAGGCTCCAGAGGGGTGGGGTAGGGCACCCCTTGCATCCACTCATTGTTCATGATGGAGTCGATCCCGTGCCTGTCGGTGGGTACGGGCTGGAGGACGCCGCGGATGAGACGGAGGCAGGGCTCGGACACATGTGGAGGCACGCTGTATGCGCCCTCCAGGATGCTCTTCTTCAGCTTGGCCACGGTCTCTGCCCGAAAGGGCATGGTGCCCGTCACCATGAAGTACAGGAGCACCCCCAGGGCCCAGATGTCCACATAAATGCCGACATAATGCTCGTCTCGGAAAAGCTCGGGCGCAGCGTATGGAGGCGACCCGCAGAAAGTGTTGAGCATTTCCCCTTTTTTACTTACTGTGCTGAATCCAAAATCACCCACCTTCACACAAGTATTATTGGTATAAAATACGTTTTCTGCCTTCAGGTCTCTATGAATAATTTGGTTCTCATGCTGTGGTAGAAAACATAGGGAAAAGTCATCATTTCCAAGGTATAATACCAACATAAAAAAAAAATAAATGCATCAGTTGCTTGAAACAGTGAGGTGATGATGGGGTAATAACAGGAGTTCAATGGATGTCACCTTAACTCAGATCTGCAAACCTCCAGAGCTGCCCTGTCCTAACCCTGAGCAAACATAACACCCACACGGCCCCCAAACAGACCAAAGATTCTGTTCTTCGGTGGGGCAAAGGTTGGAGTCTGTCCCACACATGTGACTCAGGAATTAGTGCCAGAAATGAGGTCTGGATCTTTCGAAACTGCGTATTCTGAAACACAGTGAAAATCATCTTTCATATTTGAGGCCATAAATGTTCTTTTCTGGCTGAGCAGTATCTTGACTAGGGCTAACACCAAAGGTTTAGAACCCTCCCCCAATTTTTCAACCATGCTCTTTTGTGGGGGTTGGGGGGGTCGGGGTCTCCTTTATCTTTATAGAGTTCAGTAGAAAGAAAGAGGCTATATTCGGCAAGGTTCTAGCAGCAGGTCCCACTGAGGGTGGCAAGCGCATGCCCCACCCCCACTCTCACGTTCTGGATCCAGACAGACAACCTTGGGACCCCTGACTTCCTTAGTCCCAAGGGCTCTTGGGAGATGGTTTAATGTTACTTTGCGGGCTTTCTGGGGTAAGAATCCAGGCTTTGGAGCATGATGGTTTGGTTAATTCTAGGTTCAACAATAGCAGCTGTGTGATGTGTTTTCTTTCTTTGTAAGATGACATACCGACAGCCACCTCACAAGATCGCTGTGAGGAGGGCGGGTGGTGCTGTATCTGCCGTGCTCAGCAAGGGCCTGGCACGGAGTCAACACACTCCGTGGACCCTGGATCTACAGCCATGATTCTCTCTTCCTCTCCTCAGAGACCAGGTAGCTGGGAGAAATGTCAGGGCACAGAGCTGCAGAGGACTCAGCCTGATTCTCTTCTGCTCTCCCGTCCAATTTCTTTTCTATGGAGGATGTGGAAGACCCTTCCCATCTGTTCTATTGCTCGATGTGGGTCCTGCCTGCTCCCTGGCCCTGGGAAAGTTCACGGCAGCATAGGACCACTTGAATGCCAACCCGTGGCACCCCAGGTCTGAAACACCCACCGCCATTACAGTCGGGCTCTTCTCTCTTGCTCAGTTTTTTTCCTCCCCTTCTCTCTCCTGATGCTTATCTTGGGTCCCCGGGTCACTAACTTCCCTCTAGTAGTTTGTCCAGAAAGTCATTGATCCCAGCCTCACCCCACAGCATCCAGTCAGAGGAACGAACTAGAAACAGCCTCTCAGCTCACACAGACCCCAGACAAGTGTGTCTTCTCTGCCAGCTGGGTAGAGGACAGCCCAGACTTCTGGACTAATGGAGCCACAGAGGCGGTGGTCAGGCCCGCGTGCCAAGCTCCTCTGTGTGCGTAACGATATGGGCCAATGGCGGAGGGGGCACAGGAGAACCAGCCCTTGGAGAAACTAGGGCGTGTGCTTTAGGAGTCCAGACTTACCTAAAGAAACAATCGGAGAACTAAAGTAAGAGTGACATCACCGAGTGTTAATCTGCTGAGCACGGAGGCGGCCAGAGCTGGAGGGATTCACCAAAGGCAAGAAGGGTCTGTGTGAGCTGACGTGAGATTGAAGAAAATTCCAGACAAAGACAGCTGAGCAGGGACATGAAGGGTGGATAGGATTTGGAATGTGAGACACGGTAAGAGGGGAGAGAGCATCCTACACACACAGGCAGGTAGACAGGACCAAGCAGCAGCGAGGAGCCAGCTCTCTGGTAATGGAGGGTGGGTGTGGAGGAATGGCTGTGGCCAGGGCCTGGTGAGGGTCATCCCACTACTCGGAGTGACTCCTGCCAACGGCCTCAGAACCAGGAGGCTGCCATGTAACTGGAGATACCTGGGCGTTGCTTCAGAGGCTGAGAGTGTGATCTCATCCAAGCTTTGCACTCTCACAGAAGGGACTCCTGTCAGCCCTCACAGGACTAAAGCCTTCCAGGATGCTTGGATGCAGGTGAACCAAAGCCCATGCTCCCACTGTGCGGAGTGTGGGAGCAAGACTCCACTCCTCACCCCCACTCACCATGTGCTTCACGGCAGACACAATCTGGGAGAAGATGAGCTTGCTTTCCGGCTCCGAGAGCTTCCCTTCTGTGCTAATTTTTCCAAAGAGCTCCCCACCTCCTGCATACTCCATCACCAAGTGGAGCTTGGATAGGGTCTCCACAACTTCGTACAGACGGATGATGTTGGGATGGTGCAGTTTTTCCATGCTGGAAATTTCACGGGATAGTAGCCGTTGGGTTTTCTGGTCTAACTTGGTCTTGTCCAGGATCTTAATGGCCACCTTTTCTGGGAGGGAAAAAAAAAAAAGTCAGGGGCAGTGCCAGTGTTCGTGGGTGCATAGAGAGATTTAGAACTGGAGGGGACCTAGATTGGCCCCTTGATTTCACTAGACACAGAAGGTAAATGGCTGTTCCCAAGCTCACAGAGCTTGTCAGCGGTGATGACAGCAATTCTTGAGTTGAGATCAGGGCTCATCCCTTGGATCAGCGTGAGTCTTCCACGCACAGATTTTGATGCCAACTCCTGCCTTCCAAGGAAGTTTCAGTTTGATCTTTATCCACTTTTCTGGATAAAGTTAAAGCTTCTTTTCTTAGCCCAGGTCAGACCCAACCCACGCCCTCTGCCTCCTCAGGCATCACCCCTGTTCACAGTTTCCACCATCGCGCACACAGCTCCATTCCAACTGTTACACAACTGTTTGTCCCTCCTAAAAAGGGACTGAACATCCCTGCCTGGGGCCTTTCCCCTATCTGGATCATTTCCTCTGCCTGGCTCACCACTGCTTCCCTGTTCTTTATGCAGGTAACTCCTGATGAGCCTTGCGGACTAGCCTCGGAACATTCAGATTCTGTGTATTCTCTGTCCGATGATCTGAGCACACTGGCCTGTAAATGTTGATTCCTTGTCTGTCTCCCCCTCCTACCCCTTCCTGTGTGGCTATATTTTATCTGACTTTGTCCATGCCAGGCACATAATGTCATGGTGCAGGCCACAGCGGCGCTCAGCGTGTGCGGGGTCCCGGGGAGGGCACGAGCAGACGGACCCACAGCGGGACACGCAGCTGGAGGGAGGGGTCGCCAGTCCGATCGTTCTGGACTGTAGTTTGCTATTATGTATTGAGAGCCCTAAGAATGGCTGCACGTTTTGACCCAGCCATTTCACCTCTGACAATTAATCTTAAAGAAATCATCTGACACGTGTACAAGACAGGACGTGGAAGAAGACTTCTGTGATATTGGGAACAGCATCCAGCAAGACAGAGGGTTAAAATGAAGTCTGGTTCATCTATCTCTGTAACAGTACACCATGCAGCCATCCACATAACGATGTGGATCTTTATCTGTTGAAATGAAGAGATGTTCAATAGAGAACAAGTGAGAAAAAATACAAGTATCCATTTGCATACATTTACATTTATATAAATATACATCTGCATACAAAAAAATCTGGCAACTTATGCACCAAAATGTTTAGATAATAGTTATTTTATTAATAAGGGGATCATGGGGCGCTTGGGTGGCTCAGTTGGTTGAGCATCTGCCTTCGGCTCAGGTCATGATCCCAGGGTCCTGGGATCGAGTCCCGCATTGGTCTCCCTGCTCGGCGGGGAGCCTGCTTCTCCCTCTGCCTTTCACCCTGCTTGTGCTCGCTCTCACTTTCTCTCTCTCTCTCTCTAATAAATAATAAATAAAATCTTTAAAAAACAATAAGGGGATCATGGGTGGTTTTTAAAAAATTTTTTTTACTTACCTGTATTCTCTAATTTTCCTACGATTAATTTATACAATTAACATAAATTGTGTAATAAAAGTGGTTAATGTTTGAAAATGATGAATCTATTCCAAAGTAAACAATTTATTTTTTGGTTCGAATTGGACCAGACTTTCTATGAGGTGAGGAAAGAAGTTTCCGGGCAAGTAAAGGGGAAAACAGGATTGCAAGGCCCCCTTTGACCCACTTGCAAAACAACTGTTTTGAAGAACTTTGGCACAGTGGTTGTGGGTGTGAAAACAGATGCGGCTGGTTTGAAATCGGAGCACTGTTGGTATTAAACGTAGGTCCATTAGCGCTTCTGGAATGGAAAGGGGCAGGGTCCACTGGCGTCTGATGTGACCACGCTTGCTCTGGTGGAGGCAATACTGGGGAAGAAGGAGACGAGCCATAAGCGAGCAGAACCCTTGGGGCTTACATAACCTCTGCAGGCAGAGTCCCAGGGACGGACACCCCCCGCCCCCAAGCCTGGAGGCATGCCGCCGCCCGGCTCGTGGCTTTTCAACCGTTCAGTGTTTAGGATTAAGATTCACTTCACCTGCTTAGAAACAGAAACTTGGTTTGGGTAGCCTGTTAGGTGAGCTGCTCTTTTAAGGGCGGGAATAAAGAGCTCCATCCTTGAATCTGGCAGATGGCCTGCAGAAGAGCCCGCTGCTGGCCTCCCTCGATCCTGACCCCGACTTCTGTGAGGACGCGCGTCCCCTCTGCTGCTTGGCTGGCGGCCACACACTGTCTCCCACATTGCGAGCACCCACCAGGTCATGGTGCGGTCAGGCTGATGTCACAAGCCTCCCTGGAGCGCAATCCTAGTCTTATTTTTATTCTATGTTTGAGTGGTTCTTGGCAAGGCTGCCGTCCCAGGGTAGGACCAGAGTAGGACAGGAGAGGAGCTGGGAGGCGGGGGACTTCTTTAAACTCTGCGCCCTGGGCACCCCGGGGCCTCACGCTCCTCCCCACCTGCTCCCTCCACTTTGTGTTAAATCAGACTATTGCCATGCTTGGATATCCACATAAATGGATAATCATAGAACACATTTTAAAAAGCCCTGGTGGGGCGCCTGGGTGGCTCAGTTGGTTAAGCGACTGCCTTCGGCTCAGGTCATGATCCTGGAGTCCCTGGATCGAGTCCCGCATCGGGCTCCCTGCTCGGCAGGGAGTCTGCTTCGTCCTCTGACCCTATCCCCTCTCATGTGTTCTCTCTCAAATAAATAAATAAAATCTTTAAAAATAAATAAATAAATAAAATAAAAAGCCCTGGTATTCGGAATGGTTGCTAAGTGGCAGAAACTGCTCTTCCACGAAGAGCGAGGTCTCCACATCCACTCTTTCCACAAGTGTTCAGTGAGCACAGGTGAGCACCTACTGTGCACCAGGCAATGAAGAAGACACTGTCCCTATAGTCCAGTGAGGGACAGAGACTTTGAGAAACGCCCCTATTACAAGTGCAGCCCAGGGGAGGAAGGAGGACAGGCAGGAGAACGGCAAGGCCTTTCTGGGAAGGGACACTTGAGCTGCGGCCACGAGGTGAGGAGGGAGGCCCAGCACGTGGCCGTGGGAGCCACAGGCCTGGGCGAGGGACGACCTATGTGTTTGAGGACGGGAGGGGAGCCCACTATGCTGGACACAGAGAATGAGGGGGTGGGCCCAAACCAGCCTTGTGCGGTCGGCAGGGTCGGAAAATCCAGGGCCTTGGAGGCGGTTTCGAGGAAGGCAGCCTTTATCTGTAGGACAGTGGCAGACGGTCCACAGTTTCAAGGCAGGGCATGATCATCTGACTTCCGTGTCAGAGTAAGTACTCTGGCTGCACCGTGGGGAATGGATAGACGAATGGGCCTGAGAGCAGGCTGGTGGTTTAGGAGGTGATTATGGCAATCGCACAGACAGGACTCTCGTGTGCTGCCAGGGGAGGGAGAGAGTAGACACATTTGAGAGTAGCCCTCCCCTTTCTCCCAGTCGAGTTAAGAGTCTGACACAGGTCCCGTGTAGTGGGCAACACATTCCTTAAACTAGGACTTGCAAACTCAGATATCTCGAGAGGCCAGAGTGGGGATAGGGTGGCAAGCTTATTTTAAGGCAATAGGGAGTAGGTGGGGATGCCTGAGTCCCGAGGAGTACATGGCCAGGTGCAAACTCCACCCCAGACAGTTGTCCCTGTTTGGAATGTAGACTCAGTGTTGTCCAATCTGATTTTTTCAAGAGAAGCCAGACATCTGAAAAAAATTTCTCTTAAGATTTTATTTATTTGACAGAGAGAGCACAAGCAGGGGGAACGGCAGAGGGAGAGGGAGAAGCAGACTTCTCGAGGCAGGGAGCCCGATGCAGGGCTCGATCCCAGGACCCTGGGGCCATGACCTGAGCCAAAGGCAGACGCTTAACCATCTGAGCCACCCAGGTGCCACAGACATCTGAATTTTTATGCAAATATTCCAATCACTAAGTGTCAGCAAAAATTCAAATTTTTAGACCTAGAGTGGACCAAGCAAAATATGTCTATAGGACCAAAGGGACAAAGGGAGAAAATAGATACTAGAACACAGAGTGCTGTGTAGAGAAACTTGCTGTGAGAGGAGCTGAGACCTTCCTTCCAGACACACAGCCAGGCTGAGCCAACCTTATAGTGAGAGGCTGGGAGAACAGAGATCAGGCCCTCCCTCTCCTTCCTGTGGTCCCCTGCAAGAGACCAAAGCCAACTGGAACCCAGAGAACTAAGGAGACTTGATGTAGCCTGGGCAGAGGGTAGAATGAAGGAGGAGAGTGGATCTGGAAGGTCACTGGCAAAGCAGGCTTACAGGGTAAGTGTGTGGGAGGCAATGTGGTCATAAAGCAAGGGGGTGTGCCCCTAGTTTGGGGTCAGGGGACACTTGGAGGCTTTCTCTGGAATCCGACCGTTAGCTAGAGGAAAGTAGAGAAGAGGCGATGGGGGAGGTTCTAATGGTAAGGATGTGTAGGAGAGAAGGTCTCGGAAGCAGGAAAGACCTTGATACCTTAAGGTATTTGTCTATATACCTTCTGCTTGGCTTTCTTTATCAATAAAATGTTTTTGAGCACTGCTCTAATACATATATATATATATATATATATAAATTGTATACATGTACTACTAATATATACATTTTAAATATATATAATCATAGAAATTAAAAAGATAGAATGACAAATAAATATAGATGGAAATTCTAATATTGCCTTCCCTCACCCAGTGAATCATTTTGGGCATCCCCTAGGGAATGCAGACCCTACTTTGGAGACCACTCAGGGTCACCAATGACCTCCAAGTTGCTAAAACTGATGGTCAGTTCTTAGGCTTTATCCCTCCCCCTTGAAACAACTTTACCACTTGGTTTCTAGGGCAGCACACACTCCTGGCATTTCTCCTAGCTCTCTTTTGTTCTTTTTATTATTGAAGCGTAGTTGAATATGATGTTATATTCGTTTCAGGTGGACCACACAGTGATTCAAGTTCCACACATGACTTAATGCTCACCTCGGTAAGTAGTCACCATACAACATTATTACGATATCATTGACTATATGCCTATGCTGTGCTTTTCCTCTTCATGACTTATTTATTTTATAATTGGAAGTTTGTAGCTCTTAATCCCCTTCACCTATTTTACCCATTCCCCATCCTCATGTCTGGCAACCACCAGTTTGTTCTCTGTATTTATTTTTAAAGATTGAGTTATTTTAGAGAGAGTGCATTGTGCAAGTGGGGGAGGAGGCAGAGGGAGAGGGAAAGAATCTCAAGCAGACTCCCTGCTGAGCGCAGAGCCCATGGGGCTCAATCGCACAGCCCTGAGATCATGACCCTAAGATCATGACCTGAGCCAAAATCAAGAATCAGATGCTCAACCGACTGAGCCACCCAGGTACCCAGTGTTCTCTGTATTTAAGAATCTGTTTGTTTTGGGGGAAAAAAAAAAAGAATGTTTGTTTTGTTTTTAGATTCCACATATCAATGAAATCACATGGTATCTGTCTTTTCTCCTGCCTCTCCTACTTCCAAGGCTCCTTTGCTGTATCCTTTTCATCTCTGCAGCCCCTGAATGTTGGCTACCTGAAGGCGTCGTCCTTGGATTCCTTCCCTACAATCATTTCCTTAGTGATTCCAGATGCATAAACATGTCTGCCTGTATGATCTCTCCCCTTAGTTGTCTTAGTTTGGGTTCTGCCTGAAGCAGAGCCTGAGGCAGGGATTCAGGTGGACGAAGGAGGTAACCTGGGAAATATAGGTAGAAGAATGAGGAACGGAGATGGGAGAAGATGGCCAGGAAATGGTGTGTTACCAAGCAAGTACCAGTCAGCCCTGCTAAGAGTTACTGTGCCTAAATATCACGAGAAGAACTGGGGTATTTATATATCAACCACTGCCAGTAATTGGTGTCGGCTGCTCTGGGGGATATAAACTCCCATCTATTTCTGGCCTCCCATACATTCGGGAAGAGCAGGCTCAAGCAGCTAGAGAGAGCCCAGAGGCTAGGAGATGGTGAGACTGGCACGTGGAGGCCAGGCTCGCATGCACTGACGTGGTAAGGTGCTAGGAGACGTGATGTGTGTGGGGGGGAGACACCCACAGCACCTGCCATATATGTGTAATAGATGTGTAACAAGCATGTACGACAGAACATGTTCAATATTGTGCTCCTGATCTCCCCCCACCCCAAACCTGCCCCTCCTACGGTCTTCCTGATGTCAGCAAATGGACACTCTAGTCTTATGCTTGTCTAGACCACAAATCTTTGAATATCTGAGTCCTCTTTTACATCCCACTTTGAATTCGTCAGCAGATCCTGTTATCTCTACCTTCTAGACACAGCCAGAATCCAGCCACTTCTCAGCACCCCACTGCCGCCTTCCTGCTCCAAGCCACCGTTCTCTCTTGCCTGGATAATTGCAATAGGCTCCTCACTGATCTCTCTCTTTCTGCCTTTGACCCCTTCAGTCTATTTTCAACAGAGCTGCCGGGGTGATCCTATTAAAGCATAAGCCAGATCATGTCACTTCTCTGCTCCCTCAGAGGGCTCTGGTTTCACTCAGAGGAAAAGCCAGAGTCCTTCCTATGACATAATGACCCCACATGATCTGGTCACCGCTGTCCCCTGGCCTCAGCCCCCTGACCATTCCTGGAGTACCACAGGCACCCTCCCTCCTTAGGCTTGCTGTCCCCTCTGTCTGACCACTCTCCCCTACATTGGTGGCCAGAGAACGTATTTCTTTCAGGTCAGTAATCGCCCCCTCAGTAAGGCTGTCCTGGCCAACTTATCTAAAATGTGGCCCTCACTGTTCCCTATGCCCCCCTTGATTTCCTTCTTATCACTTATCACTATGTAACAGAGTGAATACTTTCCTGACTTGTTTTTGTCTGTCTCTCCCCACTAGAATAAGCGCCATAGGACAGAGATTGTTGTCTGTTTTGTTCATTGCTGTATCCCCAGTCCTTAGAAGAGTATCTGTTACATACACAGTAGGTGCTCAACAAATCTTTGTTGAATGAATGTTCTCACCAGCCCCACAAGAACCCAGGGTGAGTCTTATCGTCGCAGAGTAAACTCAATTTGGCACTTGGCTCTTTCATTTACTATTTTGTTCCAGGCACCTTCCATGTTACCATAGACTCTTCAAATCCTGATTTTTAATGGCTGTATAACCTTCCATCCAGCATATATGCTTTTATTTACCTGACCATTCTTTTTTTTTTTTTTAAAGATTTTTTATTTATTTATCTGAGAGAGGGAATGGGAGACAGAGAACATGAGAGGGGGAGAATCAGAGGGAGAAGCAGACTCCCCGCTGAGCAGGGAGTCCAATGTGGGACTCGAACCTGGGACTCCAGGATCATGACCTGAGCTGAAGGCAGTTGCTTAACCAACTGAGCCACCCAGGCGCCCCTTACCTGACCATTCTTATGTCGTTGGATCACATCAGTGATTTCTAGTCCTTTGTGCTATAAATAAGACCACAAGGAGCATTTTTGAGTTCTAGTATTTCTAATATTAGACTTATTTTTAGGATGGATTCACCAAAGCCACTAAGTAACCATTTTTAAAATAAGAAAACAAGCTTTAATTGCTGTTTTAATGAATGTTGTTCAAAGAAGATATTACTACTTTAAAGTCTGTGGGCCTTCTCTATGAAGCTTGACTCAAGACTGAGTTAGTCCCCAGTCCTGTCCGCCAGGAGAGGACAGCACAGAGGACCTACCAGAGAATACTGCCATGCAACGCTCCCTCGAAAATCTCTTCCCTGCCACTTCTGGGTTTTCACAAGAAGTTCTATACTAATTCCCCAAATATTTGTTGAATAGTTATTATTTATAACCCATGTGGGGAAATTCTAAGGATCAAAATGCTGCAGTGACACCAAGGAGACTGTGACCAGAACACCCAATATTTTCACTCTCCCCTGGATTTGTTAAGCCCCAAAGCTTTATTTCCCATTCATATTTCTTTTGGGCTCCAAGGTGGCTGTTGGACTCCATGACCTTCATGTTCCTCCAAGTCAGTGCTTCCAAATCTTTACTCTCAAATCCGTTTCTTCTCCTACAGTCACTCTTCACTGCTGAGTCGTTAAAGCGGGAGACCTGGGGGTCACCTTCAATACCTTTTCTCCTTCCCTGCTCTTACCCATGCAATTCACCACAGGGTTTTCCAATATTCTGAAATATTTCTCAAATGCATCCCCTTTTCTCCATCCTTTCTGTCACTTCTTTTTAAAAAACATTTTTTTGTGGGGTGAACAAATCTTTTTTTTTTTTTAAGATTTACTTATTTGAGAGAGAGAGAGAGGGAGAACAGGGGGAGGGGCTGAGGGAGAGAGAGAATCTCAAGCAGACTCCCAGATGCCCATGAAACCCAACACAGGGTTCAATCCCACGACCCCAAGATCATGACCTGAACCAAAATCAATAGTCAGACGCTCAACCAACTGAGCCATCCTGGTGCTCGTCTGTCGCTTCTTTAGTTGAGATGGACATCATCATTCATCTGGACCATTAGACTAATATTTTTTCTGACTACTCTGACTTTTGTCACACCCCAACTTCAATTTGCTTTCCTCACTGAAAACTCATATAAATCACCTGTATAAATTGCTTGCTTAAAGCTCTTCAGTGGCTCCCCAGTACCTAAATGACAAACCCCAAATATGCAAGAAGACTCTCCATGATCTAGTCCCTGCCTGCATCACTCTCTGTGTCCCCCTGCTTAATTCATTTTAAATCTCCAAAGACTCCCCTCCCTGGCTCATAGCTCCATGCCCTTCATAAACCTCAAGACCTACTATAAGCCTGTCCTGCTCAGCGACCCTTTCCTTCTGCCCTCAGGCACAGCGGAGCACACCCTTTGGCCTTACTCTGTGGCAGCACCTGCCAATTATATCCTGTCTCCGTGACCTACTGTGAGTTCTTAACAGGCTAGAACTGTATCTTACTCATCTCTGTAAGGCCCAGAACAAAATATGGGTCCAGGAGAGTTTATTGTATTTTTAAAAAGGAAGGTGGCGGGGGCATGAATGAACTAAGTAAATTGAGAGAAAAGAAGGGTTCTAGAAATGTGAGACTAGAGTGACAGACAGGAAGACCAGGGAAGAAGAGGCAAGGAAGGACAGCAACAGAGAAAGGGACAGGCACCCGAAGCCTCATTTACTTTTGTTTGGGACAACAGATGGAACATAAAATATTCAGAAGCTGAGTGCATCATCTCTTTTGAGAAATTTCTAATCAGCTTAAAAGGGGACTCATAGCTGCCCTATCAGCTTGCAAGGCCCAGGGGAATCTGAGCTGGTAGCTATAAAAATAAACTCCAGCCGACAGGGGCCTCTCCTGGAGCCTTCTTTCTAGAGATCCATCCAGAACAGCTGGGGCCCTTTAAAAACTACCATCCTGGGAGCTGCTCCCGGCACCCAAACCCTCTGCTCTCCTGGGAACCCCTCCACTGTCTCATCTAGGCTGTCCACATTTCCTAGACAACCTGATGACAATTCTGGGCCAGCTGGCTTTGAATGGGGACCATATTTATACAAGCTCTGTCACATGACACCATCTGATGTGGCCGGGCAGTGGGACAGCTATTTGAAATGCCCAGGATGGCTTTCTAAGCCGCTCACTAAGCCACTTCACTCTCGTTCCCCTTTCAGAAGTGAAGATTTTGGAGGTATGTGGCATCTATCTTTCCATCCCAGTCAGCTCAAGGTGGTCAAATGTCCCCCCTCCTTCTCTCAGCCAAGTCTCCCAGTCCGGGACTCCACCTCCCACTACCTGAGCACCCCCTCTCTCTCCTGAGCCCTCACAACCGTTTGCATCTGGGCTCCCCCCTGCGCCCTTCTCAGCTGCTTTGTCACCTTCCTGCGCCTTCCTAATTAGGGGCTCACCAAAGGCAGAACCGCAGAAGAGAGGTGGGGTGCAGCTCTAGGACCAGGCCTTTACGGGATGGGCCCACAAGTGAGGCACAGGCTGCATTTCTCTGTTGCTCAGTGACCCGCCCTTGCATTTTCTGTTGCTTAAACGTGCTCGTTGACCTGATTTTCCCCACCGCCTGTGCTTTGGGCCTCCCTCCCCTTTTCTGCACGTGTCCCATACCCAGAGGGTGACGCTCAACCTTTGACAGTGGGGCTACGCTGTGGCATGTCAGCTGTGAGGAGTGCATGTGGGTGAGGCCACCAACACACCCAGTTTGCACAGCAGGAAAAGGCCATGTTCTCTGGAACTCAGGGAGCTAGGATTCAGTTAATTTGCAATACTGCAGATGAGAAGCCTGTGGCATTCGAGCAGGAAGTCACTACATAAATCTCTGTTGTTGTTGCTCATCTTTCTTCTGCCCTCCTCACTGAACAGCCTGTCTCCAGACTCAAGCCGCTTGCTTGCTCCTGGCTTGTGATCTCTCTGCTCAGCCTGTTATTGTCTCCACGGCGGACGTGTCCGTCGATTTGCTGTGCTCTCTGCTACTCTCCCCTCCCAGAGACACTGGTTGGGACCTCAGGCTCTGCTGACACGGCTGTGGGACGCGTGACCCTAGAGGCTGCTGCTGACCTGACGTGGGCATGCCCTTGAACTCAGCGGAGACCTCTCATTGGTAGCCTGTCATTGGTTGGCTGGGGAGCAATCACATTCTCTCTCTTTAAAATGGGAGCTGGCCCAGAATAAAACTAGCGGTAAGGAGAAGGGTAATAACGCCAGGAGACCATGTAGACATGGGACCGGCAACCACCATTCCTGGCCAGGAGTCTTGTGACAGCTACACAGAGAAAGCCGCTCTGCAGAATGAAGTCTGAAGATGGAACACTTTCATCAAGGGAAGTAGAAATGAAAAACCGTGAGGCCCCAGAGAAAGAGGAGATGGAGAGAGCACGATCTTGCCACTCACTCTGCCCCCCCTTTCCACGTGAGCTAATTTGCGTAGGCTTCTGTTCCATGAACCCAATGATGGGTGACTCAGCAGGCCCAAAGAACCTAGACTTTTCTGAAATCAGATTAATAATAGCATTTAATCAATATTTACTGTGTGCCCTGTCTAAGCATATGGTAGATATCAATACATTGCATGTTTAAATTTTATTCATGAAGAAATTGAGGCACAGAATGATAAGGTCACTTGTTCGGTGTCGCGCAGCAAGAGATAAAAAGAATAGGAAGCTCCACCCAGGCCTCTCTGATTCCAAAGCTAGGATCTTCCCACAATATTTATTGCATGCCCTTCTGCTACTTAAAGACACAGCTGTCACTGAGACCCTGAACAGGGAGAAGGACTGGCAGAAAGGAGGCTGCAAGATGAACCCACGCTAATTCTGCAAGGCGGGAGGACTAGCTGAGGTCAGTGTTTCCCAAAGTGGAGCCTGTAACACTCATGGGGCACGGAATGATTTTCATGCAGGGAAACTGAATCACAGCATAAAAACATCATCCCCGTTTGAGTTATTCTTTAATTCTCCTAAGTAAGGCAAAGAGAAAGTCTCAGATTGGTTGTTGGTATGTTTTACTTCTGTTACTTGGCCATTTTCCTTGACAACTTCTTGAAAGTTTCTAATTAGCAAGAATCAATCTTAGAAGTTCTCACCATACACACAAAAATTCTAACTCTGTGAGGTGACAGATGTTTTAAGTAACCTCATTACAGTAATCATTTTGCAATATATACAGATAGAAAATCACTATGATGCATATCTTAACCTATCCAATGTTACATGTCAATTATGTCTCAATAAAACCGGGAAAATACATAAATAAATAATAAAACTTTTACATTTGTTTCCATTCTACCGGTTTTTTACCATTACCTTCTATTCATAGCAAGTGACATTGGTTTTTCATTATTTAAATAATATTACATTTCCTTTTGAAGTAAGTTTATTTAAGTAAAAAAATCGAGTTGTACCAATGATGGTTTCTCTGTGCCATGTACTTTGCATGTCATTTCTGATTTTCCCAGCAATTCTAAGAAAAGAATCATTATCTCTATTTTATGGCTGAGGCAACGAGGGACCACAGAGTAAGTGCCCAGTAAGAGACTGAAGCAGGATCTGGAACAATTTGCCCGATTCTGAAGTGCCTGTTCTCCGCACTGCCGCATGCTGCCTCCTCACCACTGGAATCCAACACCTGAACCCACACTCGGGAAACAGCTCCAAGTTGGCCACTTGGCGGCGTTCGCTCGGACTTTCGCCTCGCAGCCTCTCTGCTGCACTGGACACGCTCTCCTTTCGGGGCTCCTCTCCCGGTTTGTCTTTACCCACCTTCTCCTCTCCCCTTCCTGAACATGCTCCTCCTCTCCCTGTGTCTTAGCTCCATCTTTCATTCTTGCTCCAGACCACGGGTCCCAATCAGATTCGCGTTACAGCACTAGATCTACCTCTGTGGGTAAAGTCAGCACGGTCCCTGGCTGCATTCTGTACGTGAGGAAGCAGAGGCTCCCAGAAGTACTGGCATTTACCAGAGCAAGTCAGGTGAGCAGCCGAGACGTGAGGACGTGTGGACCGAGACACTTGGGCTCTGAGCAAGATGGAAGGAGACTTGGAGCTCCAGTGACCTGGGAATATGTGTGCACATGTGTGTGTATGTGAGGGTGCTTCTTATGTAGGGGCCGAATATAGGGTTGGGATTGGGGGTCAGAGGAGAAAAGAAAACAAACAACAACTCTAATATAAAAGAGCAGCCCCAGGGGCGCCTGGGTGGCTCAGTCGTTAAAGCATCTGCCTTCGGCTTGGGTCATGATCCCAGAGTCCTGGCATCGAGCCCCACGTCCAGCTCCCTGCTCAGTGGAGAGCCTGCTTCTCCCTCTCCCACTCCCCCTGCTTGTGTTCCCTCTCTCGCTGTGTCTCTCTCTGTCAAATAAATAAATAAAATCTTAAAAAAAAAAAAAAAAAGCGGCCCTGGATTTATGGTAGCAGGCTGGGGCCAAGGTGAGAAAATGTCGGTACAGAACTTGCAGGGACAGGGGAGTCTGTGGGTTTTAGGAAGTTGGTAAATTATACCAAGTTGCAAGTGTTCTTTTCCTGCCTTACACTCCCTAATGATCATCTCCAGGCTTCAGTCAAGTTTCAGGTGACATGGGGAAGTGCCCACACTGGGCTGGGCCAGCAAAGGGCTGCTGGGCTCTCTGCATAGTTCCAGCCTGAGGGCAGAGTGGTGGGTGCTGCTGGTCTGGGGTCCAGAGTGTCCGGAGCCAAGCCAGCATGGGTCTTTGGTAGAAGCAAGGAGCCAAGCAACAATGAGAAGTAGTACAGAGTAGACCAGAGCAGAGAAAGTCCTGAGATCCAAAGCCTTTTCCCCAAATATAACAGAAGTAGCAGCCTTGAGTAAGGAGGGGGGCCTGAACCCTGCTATCCACTGACAGTGGCGACAGAGGTTATAACTAAGGACTTGGGGGGTGCCTGGGTGGTTCAGTCGTTAAGCATCTGGCTTCGGGTCAGGTCATGATCCCAGGGTCCTGGGATCGAGCCCCCTATCGGGCTCTCTGCTCCGCGGGGAACCTGCTTCTCCCTTTGCCCCTCCCCCTGCTTGTATTCCCTCTCTCGCTGTCTCTGTCAAATAAATAAATAAAATCTTAAAAAAAAAAAATAAGGACTTGGAAGACGAGTTGCCTGGGAACCAACCACACCCCACTCCAGTTCTCCAAGGCCTAAACTGGAGAGGACAGGGTCCCCTCAACGTTGAGTGAGTTCATCCACATGGTACAATAGGAGAGTTTTTAGAGTAAAATCTTTCAAGATTGAACTGCCGACACTATATTTAACTTCTTTGGATCTCAGTTTTTTCTTATCTGTAAATGGAAATAAAGATACTGACCTCACAGTGTTCCTGTGAAAATCAACTGAGGGAACAATGGAAGGTGTGTGACCCTCAGGGCCTCGGTGATGTCGCTTCACCTGCTGCCCTGGCCCTGGCCTCCTAACCCCTTCCCCAGACCAGCTCCCAATACCACGGGAGATGATCCTGGAAGGTCAGATCCTACCTTTGGTTAGGGAGTGAATCCCGAGCTTGACTTGGGAAAAGTTCCCACTTCCAATTTCCCCTCGGATTCGGTAGAAGCCAATCCGTTTCCCCAACGTGATCTCTCTCACCACCTTCTCATCCTGGGACATGTCCTGTGTCAGCTTCTCAAAGGGTGTCAGCTGACGGGGCTGCCCCTCCTCCTCGTCCTTGCAGCGCTCCCCCGGACCGCCGCTTTCCACGCTCTCCCGCCGATCCCACCTGGCATAGTGGGGTGTCACCAGGCCGCCTCCATTTGCGTACACCGCAGTCATCGTCCACCACAGGCTCACATCTCCGTCTCGGCCGAGAGGCACCGATGGAAGGCCGCGTGAGGAGCAGCACCAAGGGCCCAGGGCGTGGGTGAGGGGCGTTAGGGCCTGCCGGAGCCACGTAGTCTCGTGGCTTCAGGGAGAGGAGGGCGGAGGCGAACAGGCGGGCAGAGCTTGCCCAGCCAAGCCAAGAGCTGCTCCCCTCACTGCAGACATTTCGCACCTTCCTTCACAGTGCACTGCCCAGCTCTCACTGTCCCAGCACACACACATCCAGTTACCATAACCACTTCCCTGATCGGGCTCCCGGAACCTTCTGGCTGCCCATGCGGTCAAATGCTCTGTGGTAGGTGACCGCGTCCCAGGACAAAGGCTCCAGTTTGCTATTTCCTTTGATGGCCCGAGAATCTTCCACTCTGGTGTGTGAGAGCCCCAGGGAGGCCCCCAGGTCCTTGCTGCTGGCCTTCGGCTCCCACCTCCTTCATTTTGCACTTCTCCTCCTGGCGAGTCACAGGCCCCAGGGACCCAATGATCTGGACCCCAGGAAAGAAGAAACTTGCAAATCAGCCTTCTGGTCACACGGCTACCAGAGAAGGATTAAGTCCCTGCAATGTCACTTTAGCCGGCCTTTATTTAGATGAGCCTTCCTCTAAGCCGTGAGCTGTCTCAAAAATTTGGCAGGTGCTGATTCATCCTAAGAACAGAGAATAAGAAATTTTATTAGCCTACGCTAATGTACGGTACAAGATTTATAATGAAATGAAACTGCCTTGTAAGCATCGATCTAAAAAAAAAAAAACCACTACACAAATTTCAGTTATGATTCTCAGTAGTAAATGCTTGATTATATATGATTTACTAAGAAGAAAATGTATACCCCCCCCACACTCCTCAATCTACATTTTAGAAAAGCCCTCACAGCCTGTAAATATTTTTAGCAAAACTATTTTTCTGTTTCTTGATATTTAGGAAAATATGCACGTTGCCTTGAATTGCTTTAAAGCCAGACTTTTAAAATAATAATATGGCACTAATGATGATAAAGATTTCCTATTAATATCAGTTTTCAAAAATTCTTACATTGATTCAAATAACAATGTGTTATATTTCCTGTTACACTGTATGTTCTTGTACAATTTTTCCTATATTGGTTGCTCCCACTCTCTATGTGCTATTTGATAACAAAGGCTAATTTTTCTCCTAGGCCTATTTTCTGGGTATTTCTTTTTTTTTTTTTTTTTTAAGATTTTATTTATTCATTTGACAGAGAGAGACACAGCGAGAGAGGGAACACAAGCAGGGGGAGTGGGAGAGGGAGAAGCAGGCTTCCCGCAGAGCAGGGAGCCCGATGCGGGGCTCGATCCCAGGACCCTGGGATCATGACCTGAGCTGAAGGCAGACGCTTAATGACTGAGCCACCCAGGCGCCCCTATTTTCTGGGTATTTCTGATCAGGTGTTAGCCTCCAGGCCTGAGAGGTCATTCTGAAGGTGCAGAAACCGAGGGTAGTGTTGCTGGAGGGCTAAAGCCTATGGCATCCTCAGTGAAGAAATACTGTCCAGCAGGAACATCTTCATGACTTTTTCTACTGCACCCTCCAGTAAAAAATAATCACTTTCTGAATTCCCACTGCCCTTTGTACATTTTCTAAAATGCCTTATATCCATGAAAGTGGGCACTGGGTTTAATTCATCTGTATGTTTTGCTCCCCTCCTCCCTCCCTCAGCATGGAGCCCAGTGTTCTACATAAAGAAGGTGTGTTGAACTTGATTTTTTGGACTTGAGCATTCTGAACCAAAACCCGAGTGAACACGAGAGATTACCTTGGAAATGTGAATTCTGAATTCTGTTTGATGATATCACATTATTACAATTAAGTACAGAGTTGCTTATATTATTATTGTGGTTAAATATGGGGTTGCCAAATAAGATAAGGACAGGAAAGAGTAAACTGCCACCCAGCTCTGTTCCTCTTTTGGGACAGGGAGGCAGGAAGCTGGAAGAAGGGTAAGGGATAAAGGTTTAAAAGGGACCAGGTATTAGTAACCACACACATCTCTAGGTTAGAGTCTGATTAGGATGTTTTAAAAGATGTTCTTAAGATAAAAGATCCTTAATTAAGTTGAGGAAAATCTAGTCACTGGTTCTTAAGTTTTCTGGGGTCATGTGCTCCTTTGAGATTCTCATGGAATCTATGACCCAATCCCCTAGAAATAAAAAGCATGCACACATAATTTGCATCCAATTTTAAGGGGTTTACAGACCCTTTGAAACCCATCCTCAGATTAAGAATCTCTATGAAGATCAAGTGGCCCTACATTTCCTCAGATCCCTGGCAGTTACCACACAGATGAGAAGTGGAGTAACATTAATTATAACATTATAATTCTGCAGCTTTACCTATATAAAAAGAGCAAGGATTTTAGACAGGAAGCAGTGATTGAGCATCTCATGTTCCAGCAGGCTCCATGAAGAACTTCTTGGCTCTGTGTCCTTCCTGGGCCTCTCTCTGAGACACCTCACCACCATGCTGTCTCTGCAGCTCACCTACTTGTACCCCAACTGGATAAGCACCCGGAGGGCAAGGACCTGCACCTTCTTCTTCTCTCTCCCAGAGCTCAGCACAGTTAGCTGATAAATGTTCGATGAAGAAGGGATGAATTAATTTACCAATTTATCGGCCATTACATTTGAGTATGATTTAGTAGAGGTAAATATTTTTATTTATAAACTAATCACGCTGTCCCAACATTTACTTGAATTATCTCAGAAAGCTTATTTCAGTCCATATTTCCAAGGCCAGAGGTACCTTCTACTGGCTGTTAGGATTCCTGGCCCACCTTCTTGTGGAGGTGAAAGCTTAGTCAGAATTCCACCATCGCAGCACTGGGAGTTGTTACTGGGGCTGCTTAGAAATGCAAAGTCTCCCCCATTTCTGCTCCTTCCAAAGGATCAGCTCTCCCCAAGACCCGCACCTCACCCATGCCTCCTGGAGCCTGCTCTGACTCCCCATGCTTGGCCAGGACTTTTCTGCTTTCCTGGGTCCCAGGTGCTCCTGATTTGGGCTCTGTTTCTTGAACTCCATTCAAGCCGGGGATTTACAGTTGGGATTTAGACTTGCTACCCAGATTAACTTCAGGCGCCCCCAGGAATTCCTCCCCTCTCTCCTCCTAATTTGACACAGAGGGTCAGGCACGATTGTCAAGTGTCAGGCTTTATCTTGCATTGCATACCCTCTACCTGCAAATTAAATTTCTTACACAATGGCCTTGAAACCAACTGTCTTGCCTTAATGGCTAAGGAGATAGTTAATCTTCTGTTAAGATCAGATAAAAGACGTTTTTGCAATTTTGAAAATGGGGTGGATTTGTATTGAGGATGAATTGCAACTTGCTGAAACATGTAGCAAGCCAACTAGAAAAATTTTGAACCCCTAACTCATCCTACTCCAAAACAAATTCCAAATAGGTCACCTGAGTAAATGTAAAACAAATGAAACCATAAAATACTAGAAAAAATTAAAAAAAAAATTTTTATGATCTCAGAGAAGGCCATAAAAGAAAACATTAGATTTGACTACATAAAATGATAACTTTGTTTGCCAAAAGGTAGCATAAACAAATAAGGCAAATTATTATTATTTTTTAAGTAGGCTCCATGCCCAGTGTGGAGCCCAGTGTGGGGCTTGAACTCACGGCCCTGAGATCAAGACCTGAGCTGAGATCAAGAGTTGGACACTTAACTGACTGAGCCACCCAGGTGCCCCAAATTTTAAAGCAAATTAAATGACAAACTGGAAAAGCTTGCCAACATATATGATAGACAAAGGTCTGATTTTTAGATGAATGATTTTTACAAATTGATTAGAAAAATACCAATATCTCCCCCCAAAATGATAAAGAACATAAGCAGACATTTCACAGAATATACAAATGGGTCTATAATATAGACAAAGATGCTCAGCCTCACTTACAACCAAAGAAATGCACATAAAACTACACTGAAATTAGATTTTTTACCAATAAATTTGGAAACTATGAAAACTTTTTTTTCAAGGTTTTATTTATTTGACAGAGAGAGAGAGAGAGAGAGCACAAGCAGGGAGAGCAGCAGAAGGAGAAGCAGGCTCCCCACTGAGCAAGGAGCCCAATGCGGGGGCTCGATCCCAGGCCCTGGGATCATGACCTGAGCTGAAGGCAGATCCTTAACCGACTGAGCCTTCCCGGGCACCCCTACAAAAATGTTTTTGATAAAGCACCGGCGAGAGAGGCTTTGGGGAAACAGGGACTCTCATTCATTGCTACTGAGAGTATAAAGTGGTACAAATGCTTGGAGGGCGATTGGGCTGTAACTAGGAAAGCGCAAGCGTACGTACCGTTTGCCTCAATAATACCACTTCTAGAGTTAACTTATGCACGCTGCACAAAAATATACCTATTTCTAATATAAGGATTGCTAGATTGATATACACTACTGCATTGCTTTGCAGCAAAAACTAGAAATTGTGTTATGTGACCATCAGTAGGGAACTGGTTAAATAAACGACCATCTGTATATAATGGATTGCTATGCACTTGCGGAAAAGAATGAGTTACAACATCCAACAAGTACTGTGAAGAGATCAGTAGAATATGTGATGTCAGGAGTGAGAGAGAGAGGAAGGCACCCCTAAGGACCTGCATCTGAGGAAAAGGACTGGGCTGGGGTCCAAAGTGAGAGAAAGGTGTACTTCTCACTATTTACTCTTTTACCTGATTTACATTTTTCCCATGTGCATGTATTTACACTTAAAAAAGAAAACAATTAAAAATATGTAATGTGTTGTCATCTTACACAATAAGTTTGCTTTATTTTGGTTATGCAGAGAAATTACTACACCTAATTCTCTAATATCTAATGGATTGCTTTTTAAAGTCAAAACATAATTAGGAATTCTGATTAAATACAGAAAATTTTATACTTTCATTTATTTCTACTTCCTTCCAAAAACCACAATAGGAATAGGAGGAAAAAGGGGATAAACTCACAAGGACAAAGAGAATAAGAGACAGGAGAGCAGCCGATGTGAGATGTCAACATGTTTCTATGGGGTTGGAAAGCAAATTGAGGAGCAGTGAGTAACTTGGCAAAGACAGTGACAAAAACTGCAACGTCTATCTCGTTGACATGCCACCGAGATTCACCTTTCTGAACACTAGAAAGACTTCAAACTCTGAGAGACCAAGTGCCTCCACGTTTGGAGGAATGAAGCAGACCAAAACACACGGGAATTGTTTGAAATGTGGAGCAGTTAAGATCCCCAGCCCTTTTTCAAAGCCAGCTTGTTACTTTCTCCTCCCACCCACAGCCCAGCTCAGGAGTGCAAGGCCCAGGACAGAGGGTTCAGTCAGATTCCGAGTTGTGGGGTCCCCCATCCTCTTCTCTCCATACCCCCGCACTCTGAGTTTCCAGAATGGAGAGAAACACGTGGAGAATCTTCCAGGTAGGGGATTCCTCTTTTCTTTCTTTTCTTTTTCTTTCTCTTTCTCTTTCTCTTTTCCTTCCTTCCTTCCTTCCTTCCTTCCTTCCTTCCTTCCTTCCTTCCTTCCTTCCTTCCTTCCTCTCTCTTTCTTTTTTTTTTATTAAGTAAACTCTATCCCCAACGTGGGGCTCAAACTCATGACTCTGAGATCAAGAGTCACCAGCCAGGTGCCCT